GAGAAATACAAACCATTCTTGTACTTCAGAATTCTCACCACCTCTCATTCTACTTAGTTGAATCTACTACTGCACTTTTACATAAGCATACCTTAATTAACAATCCTAATTCATTTTGTGAAAAATAGATTACTAATAAACCCATTAATTGTGAATTTTCTTTACCCTCAAATACTAGAAATGTCAGACCAATGGAATGTAACAAGAACAGAAGCTAACAGACAGTTCACGATGAGAAATTATAGAACTAAGAGCATTGCAAGGAACTTCAAAAATCAAGTATGACCAAATGATTAAAGCACAGAACACAGTAAAATGACAGTTAATAAGGTTAACTATAATATCAATAGGAAAGTAGCATCTTAAATATAATACTTACTTCCTTATTTCTATACAATGAATTTATGATAAGTTTCATCATTCGATTCACTTCAGCTTGAAAGGCAAACTTTTCAGCTTTTTCTCGTAGTTCCTTAACTTGAGCAACATTTAAACCATCCAACTTAATTGCTTCTTCTTCTCTTTTAACAACTTCATCATCTACAAATATTATACGACATTATTACATATTACTAAGGAAATATTAATAACAATAAGAAGAGTTGAATATAAATTTTGTATACCAGTCCTGGATCCTTCTCTGCTTGCTCCAAGGTCCGCATCCACAGTATCTGTGATTTCTTCTCCATCATCCGCCCGTACCGCTCCTTTTAAATTAAGATTCATTCATATAAGAAAAATATATTGCTGGTGCGTTATATAGACATAAAACAATTACAGAAAGTTCGTAAGACTCAGGAAATAGAAAGTCTTGTAACTCAGAGCATACCGGTATGTCTTCTGTACTTACCAAGTAAAAGAAAAAGCCCCGCAAGGCAAATTACAAGTTTCTTCATTTTGTTGGCACTCCCTTTCTTAGTTTGTGTGACACTTCAATCGACACAAAAGAAGACGCACCCAACGTGGTGCTTTTAACAGGACTAGCAAGCACTGTCCTCCCTGACAACGTCCAAGTCTTCTGATTCTAGAATGTTGTCGTTCATGTGGTTCAACTGAATTGGTACTGCGTGTCCCTGAATGTTATCCAATCACCGTTCACCACGCACAGGCGGTAATCTCATCCTTGACCAATAAGAATTCATTATGTGTAAGACGTTTCGTCCAACTGGCTTGCAATGATTGGATCCCTGAGATCGATTTGAGCGGGCGGGTCAATGCACAAAATTTAAAGGTTTCCATGCATAAATAAATGCCTGCGTTCACGAATAGAACGAACTAACAGTTCAGTGAAAAGGATTAATGCATATTTTAAATTAATTTTGTCTCATTTATTATATAAGTTGTGTGTATTTATAGATACAAAATTAACTAAGCATAAATACTTTTCGCACCCACTCCGGACCAACGCAAACTTATTAATTCGCATATACATAAAAAAATACCTCAAAATCCCAGTATCGTATTATAAGAATTCATGGAAAAAATAAAGGCATTAAAAACAAAAAATACAAGGAAATACCTGGAATTCACTGTACATTAAATGTACAAATATCATGTATATATATATATATGTATATATATATATATATATATATATATATATATGTATATATATATATGTATATATATATGTATATATATGTATATATATATGTATATATATATTATGTGTGTATATATATGTGTGTGTATATATATAATTTAGGTCGCAAAATACGTTTTTGTCGGTTTCATATACGTGAACATGAACGGAATAACTCACTAAACTAGTGCAGTGCTTAATAATTGACGTAACGTCGTCAATCAGAGTTCTTTCCGCGTGTTTTTTATCACAGTCTTAGTTATTTGTCCCATTAGTGTAGTTAATGTTTTCACGGGAGGAGGTGGTGTTGGTGTTTTTCTCCCGCTGGATGATGAGATCCGGTGCCGACCCACATGTCAGATTGCAGTGGTTTACTCAGTATCTCCCCTAGCGGGACACCACCCCAGCCCCACGCAAACTCTAAGCATCCGATTGGTCTTCCGATACACGTGGCAGTGTAGTGCATGTAAGTGTAAATGTGTGTAAGGGGGAGAATTTGACAAGGAAGAGGAAGGAATGATTGCACGTGGTCCGTGGCTCGTTTATTAGGGTACTATTCCGGCATTCGCCTGGTGTTGAACGGGTAAACCACGGAAAACTACCAATCAGAGCAGCCGACCGCTAGAATTCTCCTCCAGACAGCGATTGAATTCGACATAGTTCTGCAGCTAGTGTCGAAAATCCGCCACCGCCGAGACTCGAACCCTAGGACCTCCCGATCAGATTGGCTGCAGAGACAGCGTAATGCTGACTCTGAGCTAAACTCAGTCTGTCAAATCTCTATCGGGTAAATTAAATACTTTGTGGGCAAAAAACACGTTATTTCATGTACTAATGGAATATGAGTAAACTGGGTGTGAAATAATACCAAGATATCGAGAGTGAGGCTTCTAATGACTAATTATGAGTTGGTCTATAAACAGATTAAGTTTCCAGACGTCTTTTAAGAAAAAAATACTTAAATGTTTATATTTAAAAAAACTAATTAGCAATATAGAATACTGTTCATTAAGAGACCACCACAATTAAGAAAACACTTTTTAAAGGACAATTGAGATGGTTTTAAGTTCATTAGTCCCACATGTTGAGAACTTCTCACTGCGACCAATATTCGCAGGTGTGCTCGTTCTATCATTGTCAATAACAAATATTACCTATTAGTCGCACTGAAAAATTGGATAGTTTGGAAACCCGCAAGATGATACAGATGGTTCTAAGCATAATTTTGGAAATCCCGGACAGTTTTCAAATATTTCCACCAAGATATGCTATCAAGGTAGATGCGGTGAGACTTCCTTGAACATCTTCCTCGAATGGCAAGCATTTACATCATACTTAACGGCATTTGAATGGGCCGAGAACAGTTTTATGAGCAAAAGTATTCTACGTGGAAAGGAATATAGTGATGCTTCAACAGCACATTCTTTGTCGCAATATTTATAAATTTGCAATTTTCGAAACTTAAGAGAATTCAACAAACGTGAGACCTGCACCATACTTTTAAGCGTCCCTTGTACTATCAGTTGGGGAAAAATTGAAGAAAAGGTTATTGAGAAAAGATTTTTGTCGTTGTTTTTGTATATAATTCAATTACAAATTCTACAAAAACTACTCTTTTTTATAAAACAGTGTACTTGTCCTTTTTTGAAGAGCTAATTTTTTGAAGAGATTTGTTTGAGGCAAAAATCTCTATCTTTCAGTTTGTAATTTTTAAATGTTAAAATTTTGCAATTTTCAAAAATAAAGAGGTGTCGCCGGAAATGAGCCTAGCAGCATTTTTTTACCGTCCTTTTATACATACGAAGTGAAAAATTTAAAGGACAAAATTGAAGCGGTTTCTGAGAAAATAATTATTTAATTTTTTCAAAATTGTCTGTATTTCACATAAAATTACGCGAAAAGGACTCACATTTTCAAAAACTTGTACAAGATCTTATTTCAAGATTTATGTTTAAAGAACATATTAAGGAAAAAATCTCTAACTTCAATATTGCACGTGCAAGAAAACGTCGAAAAAAAATTTAACTTTCGCAATTTTCGAAACATCAGGGATTTTAACGCGAATGAGATTTATTCCCTTAAGCATCCTTTACGTTATTCGAGGGCAAAGTTTAATAAAAACAATGGAGCTATTTTTACGACAGTTTTGAAAATGTTGAGGGTTTAAATAAAATACACCCCCAAATCAAAAAGTTTCAAATTCAGAAAACCTCGAGTTCATTAAACCGATCGAGGAATATCGATTTTAGAGAAAGGGTTGACGACAGATGGACATACAGACTGACAGTCGTATTGCCGTCAATCGATTTATCGGTATCAAGGGCCTTTAAATGATTGATTTGGACTGCATAACGTTTTAGAGCAAGTAATCTACTATACATAGGAACATGATTAATCAACTTTTTCTTTACCAGTGCCCGAAAATAAGAATTTTGGTGTAGAAACTCGTCTGTTTCGCCGATTACGAAACTCTTCTACGTAGTAAGGGCGAGAAAATAAAAATAGAGCAGGCAGTATTTCCCGTGAAATGAAATAATAATATGAAATAAAGTTAAGATAATATTGGCGCAAGTAAGTTCAACATTGTAGTTACAGAGTTATCTTCTTTTTCAAGGATAGAAAACAAATTTATATTCTCAATCTTTCAATATTTTGACGTACCTGAGTACGTTCTTTGAATACTTCCTTTCATCAACAAAAAAAGGAAAAAAAATCTGAATATATGAACAACTTACGTTTCCAACGAAGAAACTGCGAGTGACCTTCAACCCGGAAAGTTGGTAAATGTGAGTGAAAGTAGGGGGAATTATTCACTAATAGTTTTCAGAGGGAAATCTGTATTTAAAGCCATTATCTACAGGGATGCACTCGAAGTTTTTTTAGTATAAGAATGTTTGATTTTGTATTATAGGAAACTGAAAAATCTTCAAAAGTAAAATAACACTCTAAAAAACTACAGAAATGAGCTCCGGCATTCATGTACTCATGATTATAGTCTATAAGTGATAAAAGAAGAGAAAAGCAGTCTGGGTGTTACACATTTGATAAGAGTACCGAAAATCAATTATCTGAATTATAAAACTACATTTAATCCCAGCAAAATTTATGGACAATAAACGTTTATAGACTAGAAGAAAAGATAATTCTTAATTTTCTCGCCCTTACGTCATTCGACAAGAGTTATTTCGATAGCTTTTCTGCACCCGGGTCCCTCCTAAGAAAAAAAATATGTGACGAGTGCCTAAAAGAAAAACTGCGATGATCACTCAAACATTGCAAAATTTCGGTGGTGGTCAGATACTTGTCTCAGTAATGCTGGCCAATTGATACGTGACAGAGGGCAAAAATGTCAACACCAAAAATCCCTTCTTGCTACTTCATTGCAATGATAATATTAATAAGTTGTTTCAAGATATTTTTAAAATATAAAATAAGAGAAACAAAAGAATAATCTTCAACCATTGCTAGAAGGTATAAGCTTCAGTTCTGCAAGTTGCCGGTGATAATATTTCAATTCTTGTAAGACTGATTTCTAAATTTTTAATTTTGAAACTACTAAGACTGCTGAAGTTGCCGATATAAGGCTGTCCTGCAAGAACAAACGATGATAAACTTGAAAGCATTTATTTATGTAAATAAAATATTGAGAAACAATTCATTTTCACATCGATTTTCCATCACATTCTCTCGGAAGTAAAAAGTCATCTTACTCAGCCAGCTAACCATGACCTCTAAAGCTAACAACGCCTAAAAACTAATTTCAACCAAACTATATCCGAAATTTTTGGCTAATTTGACGCTAATTAAATGCTCTATTCCCGAATTTTAGGCTTTTTTGGATTTGCCAAAATTGTGAGCGCTGCTAGCTTGCGACTAGAGCTCACTTAGGAAATCCATCTAAAAATCAATTTAAAAAATATGAAACCCTACCCAAAATTGAAGGCTAATTTGAGGCTCTACGAAAAAAGTATAAGAAAAAAATCAGGAAAAAATATTATTTTAAATAGGTATTAAAAAATAATACAAATCATCCTAACAGTAAGGAAGGGTTCATGGAATGTTTTAAGTAAAACAATATCTTACTTTGGATCCTACGTCAAGATCTAACAATAAGTAAGAGATTATGTTACTTCTTGCGTATTTGTAAGAAATGTACACTCCAAAGAACAGTATCACAGAGAACCATTACTATTTCTCGTTAATATTTCTGTGCCGTATCCATCGTTGCACGGAGCGTGTTCTGCGTGCGCATCCTCGCAGGGGGCGTCCTTGAGCAGGTGTTGCTGGGCGTTGCCCTTCCACCACCTGTTTCCCAACGTGCGTACCGGAAGTACGCTGGTGGTTCGGCGGAAGTACTCTCAATTTCCGGCAAAATGTTTTACTGGTAGTTTCACGAATTTTGTCGAATCGCCAGCAAATCCAGGCTGAGTGTCAACTGTAATTACGAGTACTCAATGCAACGTTTTTGCTTTCACTTTAAAGGCAACTTTAAAATAAGCGGG